CAGATGGACCCTATTCCTGGCTGCTTATTCTTACACGCTGATTCATAACCCGGGGAAGAACCTGTGCCACGCTGATGCCCTCAGTCATTGCCCTCTGCCTGTTCCGGTTGAAGACCCTGCACCCATCCACGCTATCTTCGAGGTCAACGATCTCAACCTGCCCATTACTGCCCTTGACATTGCTGCTCACTCCTCAAGGGACAAGGTAATTGCCCAAGTTCTGGACTGAGTGGGGAGGGGGTGGCCAGCAATTCATTACACTCCTGAATTCCTGCCTTTCAAGACTCGCCAGCAAGAGCTGTCATCCATACAGGGTTGTTTGCTGTGGGGGACAAGGGTGGTCATCCCTGCTAAACTACAAGGGCCAGTCTTAAAGGTCCTGCACGAAGGCCATCCAGGCATTGTCAGGATGAAGGCCCTGGCCCACAGCTATGTATGGTGGCCAGGCATGGATGCCCAGATCTCCAGCTGGGTAAGCACGTGCCAACCATACCAGGCTACCAGGCCAGCTCCACCATCATCTACTCCTGCCAGGTGGGAAGATGCTGGGGCCCCTTGGTCCCGGCTGCACATTGATCTGGCAGGCCCTGTGCATGGGCGAACTTTCCTAGTCATTGTGGATTCATTTTCAAAGTGGATAGACCTGGCCCTGCTGCCCTCCACAACCACTCTTGCTATCACAAAAGCCCTAACCAGAGTATTTGTCACCCATGGCCTCCCAGACACCATTGTATCCGACAATGGTCCCCAGTTCACCTCTTGCGAATTTGAGGTCTTTGCAGCCAACCTGGGCATCAGGCACGCCCTCACAGCCCCTTTTCACCCTGCTAGTAATGGGATGGCTGAAAGGGCAGTCAGGTCAGTAAAGGAGGCCCTGGAGAGGTTTGGCCCAATTGACTGGCACTCCAAACTTTCCAGGTACCTACTGACCCAGCACACAACCCCCTGTACCACCACCAATAAATCCCCTGCAGAGCTCCTAATGGGCAGACGCCTTAGAACCACCCCGGATAGGCTGCACCCCCATTACACCCCAGTTACCCCTTTGGCATCTGACAGCCAGGCCAGGAAGTTTGCCCTGGTCTATGCCAGGAATTACTCTGGCCATCCCTTATGGGTGCCAGGGCAAGTCGTGGCTATAACTGGGCCTAAGTCCTACAGGGTGCTCCTGGACGATGGTCGTACCTGGCGCTGGCACATCAACCAGCCGAGAAGGCATTGGAGACTGGCCACTGATGATCCCCGCTGCCCGCCAAGTGAACCGGTCTACCCACCGAGCACTGAGACTTTCCTGCCAAGCGAACCGGTCTACCCACCACACGTTGAGACTTTCCCGGAGTGAGCCGAGCGAAGGAGCCTACCTGGACTGCCGCCTAGTCCTCTGGCAGAGGCACTTGCCGACGAAACTCCAGCTCCTGCAAGCTCCAGCATGACCCGAAAAGCAAAAGACTCCTACCCGGCTGAAGATCCACCCAGACTAAGGCGACCTATCTAAAGAACTACGCATGCTCCTGGCCGGGGGAAAGGAGTGTTGTATTCACTGAACTGACGACAGTTCCCAATCTGGTCCTCATTTCTGGTGGGAGCGCCGATCGCTCCCATTGGTTGATGCCGTTTGACAGCCGGCTATAAAAGGAGCTGTCAAATGGCATCAGCTGTTGCCGCCAGCTGACTGCCTGTTAGCCCCGGCAGCCGCGGCAACCCTTTATTCACTGAATAAAGCCTTTTTGCTGTTAGCTCTGTGTCTGCCTCGTATCTACCGCCGCTCCACAACAAGTACAATGATCTTTTGATCATTTGTTTGGTCCAACTGCCTACCTGGGATCTTGGCTGTCCTTTATTTCCTGTTTTTTCAACCTCAGCTGCTTTGCGCAGCACAGCTGAGGTTGAAAAAGCAGGAAAGAAGAGGATTTTCCCCTGTGCGCAGTGCTTGTCAGCTGTCTGGGTGGCACAGCTGATGTTTTTTTTTTTTAAAGTTATACATGCGTGCATAGCATCTCACCACATTCTTTGCACTCTCACCAAACCGGTAGTAACACCAGTTGAATCCCACCCCTGCACCGCTTACTTCCCTCCATGTAGATGGGATGAACATAGTTAGAAGGAGATGAATATAGTGAGCAAGGAGATGAACATTTTCTCTCTCAGCCCAACTCTCCCAACACATAACACTTACGACAGCTCAGAAATTTAGATTTGCAGACAAATTTTCATAAAGCAACTAACTCTTTGTACAATGCTGATATTAACAAATAGCCAAGGTTATTTTATTCTACTAGATTCTAAATATCTGAACTTTGTTCTTGTTCTAGGTCACTGAGGTGAAGTCACATAATTTATTTTATAAATTCCCTTTACTAAACGATAATTCTCAGGAAAAGAAAAGTTATGTTAATAGATTGTGGAGGACATTACACCTTTATGGACAGAGAAAATGCAATGAACAGGAAGAATTCAAGTTGATAGATGCATTGGTGACCATAACTTCAACTGGTCCAAAGCCACCTAGTTGGTTTTTCATGCCTAAGACTAGAGTAGAATTTACAGGCCACTACATTAATAATTACACCAAACTGGGTCTCTAAGTAATGCTAAGACTGTAGTCCAGTGTGGATGATGATGATGATGATGATAGCAGTTGTGGTGATGGTGATGATGAACAGGCAGACTTCAAGTTAATAGATATGGTGGGCACCATATCTCCAATTGGCCCAAAGTCACCCAACTGGTTTTTCATGTCTAATACTGGAATGGACCTCAAAGTTTCATGTTCACAGTAACTACTGTGTCAAATTGGCTTTCTAAGCAATGCTATGACTATAGTTTAGAGAGGGGGAGGGGGAGGAGGAAGAGGAGGAGGTGAGGGATGAAGAGGAGAATCTATTTCTTCAACATCTTCATTCTCCAACATAGTGACTAAATTAGTAGACCAGCAAAATACTGTGGACATAATATATTTAGATTTCAGCAAGGCATTCGACAAAGTACACCACAATCTACTTCTTAGTAAGCTAGAAAAAAATGGAAAAGATAGCACCACCCCTAGCACCTCAACTGGCTGACAAACCGTACTCAATGAATAGTCCTTAATGGAACTAAAACTACATGGAGGGAAGTAAGCACACAAGGTGTGCCACAAGGTTCTGTTTTAGGCCCAGTACTCTTCAATATCTTCATTAATGACTTAGATGAGGGAATGGAAGGGGAACTTACCAAATTTGCAGATGATATTAAGCTGGCAGGAATAGCTAGCACCCAAGAAGATAGGCTCAAGATTCAGATGGATCTTGACAGACTAGAACACTGGGCCATATCTAACAAAATGAAATTCAATGTAGAAAAAAGTAAAGTCCTAATCTTAGGCAAGAAAAACCAAAAGTACAGGTATAGACTGGGTGAAACCAGGCTCAATAGCAGTAACTATTGAGAGGGATCTTGGAGAGGGATCTTGGAGTCTTAGTGGACAACTAGCTAAATATGAGCCAGCAGTGTACAGCAGCAGCCAAAAAAGCTAATGCAATCCTAAATTGCATTAACAGAGGAATACAATCAAGATCAAGTGAGGAACTAATACCACTCTATAAAGCCTTAGTAAGACCACACTACATCCAGTTTTGGTCGGCATGTTATAAAAAAGATGTTGAGACTTTAGAAAAAGTACAGAGAAGAGCAAGGATGATTAGGGGATTGGAGACTAAAACATATGAAGAACAGTTACAGAAACTGGGCATGGCTGGTCTAGTGAAGAGAAGGACCAAGGGAGACATGGTAGCCATATTACAATATTTGAGGGGCTGCCACAGAGGAGAGGGGGTCAAGTTATTTTCCAAAGCACCTGAAGGCCAGACAAGTAATAATGGATGGAAACTGAACAAGGAGAGATTCAACCTGGAAATAAAGAGAAATTTTCTGACAGTGAGAGTAATCAACCAATGGAACAACTTGCCCTTGCAAGTTGTGGGAGCGCTATCACTTGAGACTTTCAAGACACCCCTGTTCTAGGGTGTTAGCTATCCCTGCTAGCTTAGTGTCATCTGCAAATTTGGTGTGTTCCTCTTCTAATCAACCAATGGAACAGCTTGCCTTCAGACCTTGTGAGTGCTTCATCACTGGTGGCTTTCAAGAAGAGATTAGACTGCCATCTGTCAAAAATTGTGTAGAAGTTAGCTTAATCTTTCTAAGTGCCAATATGATGTACTCAATAAAGTGGTTCTTGAACCTGAACAATTTGTCAGAGTCATGATTTCTCGGAGTTCATTACTCAGAACAATGACAGCAAGCTAGCTTTAACTAGTTCCTGCACTGTGGGATAGTTAAAAGAATAGGATTCCCCCACTCCCCCTGTGTCTTTTAGGTCATATGGGCCAATCAAGTCACCCACAGTTTCCAGCTCAGCTCCAGCAGGTGTCCGTTGACATTGCCTTGGTCCACATGCCAGCTGGTAAATGTTTTAACTCAGCTGAGGCACACAATATTACAGTCAAGAAGAAAAACTAGAACCAATGTCCTCCAGATTATTTCTAATGTATTCACATTCTTGTGACAGTTGAAGATTTCATTCAAAGTTTGAGCTTGATTTTTCAATAGAAGAGATCCATTTGAATTTAGATTGGTTGAGTTTACCAGGCTCAGGACCAATATTTGAATGAAGAACTCTAACATGGAGGGATGGAGGAGCAGGAGAAGGACGAGCAGAAGGAGAAGGAGCAGGGGGAGCAGGAGGCGAACAGGAAGATGAGAAAAGGGGAAGGGGAAGAAGAAGAAAGAGGAGGAGAGGGGGAGAGGAGGAGGAGAAGGAGGAGAAGAGAGGAGGAGGAGAAGGAGGAAGGGAGGATAAACAATATCTATTTTGAACAATATGATATAATATTTTTGCATAAGAAATCAGAATATAGGTCCCAGAAGGAGCAGAAATCCTCTTGCTCTGATGTAGCTACATTTGCAACACAAGCCTGAGTATACACCAGGCTGACTAGCTGATAAATGTATACCATACTTTGTTTCATGTAAATTATTTCCTGGTATACCATGTGTTAAATAGATGTTTTGGTGAATGAAGACAGTATTGGATGTACTTGACTGTATTGAATTGCTTTTCACCTTTTGTATGACCCTTTTCAAAAGCATGGTTCTGAAACTGTTGATAAGTTTCCTCTTTGTGTTCCCAGCATGTAAGAACAGCTATAGTTTGTTTTTAGGTAGAGGTGCATTTTTTATGTATTCCCCCCCCACACACACACTTTTATTTTTATTTATTTATGTATTGTTTTTAATTAATGCAGGCATTACCTCAGAAATTACAATTACTCAGTCTGCTGCTCAAGTGAAAAGACCAGGTGAAAGTATGTGGCTCACCTGTGCAGTTTCTGGATTTTCTCTCACAAGCTGTGGAATAAGCTGGATCCGTCAGGTTTCTGGAAAGGAACTGGAATGGATTGCAGACATCTGGCATAATGGAGGCACTGCTTATAGCACTATCTTTCGAAGTCGGGCCATCATCACAAAAGACAATTCTAAGAGCCAAGTATACTTGCAGCTCAATTCTTTAAAGGCTGAAGACACAGCTGTATATTATTGCATAAGACACAATGAGAGGAATCTTCTTACAAATTGATCAAAACCCACCACTTTTCAAATTTAAGCACAGTCATTCTGATTTGTGTGTTATTATTTTATTTTTGTGTCTTATTATTTCAGGAAAGGAACCTGTGGTTCTTTCCTGAACCACAAAACTAAAACTTGCCATAATATTCTCACCCCAAGATTTCTTTTAAAATGTAGCTGTCAAGTTGAGCCAAGAAAAGTCACTCAGAACACAACTGAACTGCCTTATTCCATCTTTCTTTCTTGTCTCTTCCAGAAAGAGCAATTTTTCTCAAGATGGATCTTGACAGACTGGAACACTGGGCCCTATCTAACAAAATGAAATTCAATGTAGAGAAAAGTAAAGTCTTACAGTTAGGCAAGAAAAACCCAAAGTACACATATAGAGTGGGTGAAAACAGGCTTAATAGTAGTAACTATGAGAGGGATCTTGGAGTCTTAGTGGACAATCAGCTAAATATGAGCCAACTGTGTGCAGCTGCAGCCAAAAAAGCCAATGCAATCCTAAATTGCATTAACAGAGGGATACAATCGAGATCAAGTGAGGTACTAATACCACTCTTTAAAGCCTTATTTAAGACCAGAACTAGAGTTTTGGTCACCACACTATAAAAAAGGTGTCGAGACTCTAGAAAAAGTGCAGGAAAGAGCACTCAGGATGATTAAGGGACTGGAGGCTAAAAAATATGATGAATGGTTACAGGAACTGGGCATGGCTAGTCTAATGAAGAAAAAAGACAAGGGGAGACATGATAGCAATGTTTCAATATTTGAGGGGCTGCTATAGAGAAGAGGGGGTCAAGCTATTTTTCAAAGCACCTGAAGGCCAGACAAGGATTAATGGATGGAAACTGAACAAAGAGAGATTCAACCTGGAAATGAGAAATTTTCGGTTTGGAGATTTCCGGTTTGTCGGCTTTGCGAGCGGTACGGATTCGCGAAGCTGCGCGATCCCTGCCGCGCTAGCCGCTTTTGGGGCTCCGATCCGAAAGGGTGCGGAGCAAGGCTGCCCTGCAGGGGCAGCTGAAGGTAGGGGGGATCCGGAAAAGGGTTTGGGGGTGTTGCAGACCCCCTCCCTGGCCGGCAGAACCTCCTTTTACCAAGACGGCGTAGCGGCGGTCCGTAATGGCCGCCACAAAGAAGCCGGCAGCTGGGCAAGTATGCGCAGGAGGAAGAGGAGAAAGTTTTTAAAAGTGAAAGTCTTCTTGGTCGATCCAGGACTCTGAGATATATTTAATTTAATTCCTGGAAGTGATGGCTTTTTGGATGATTCTTTCCACAAGAGAAAGTAAGCGGCAATTCTGAGGTGCTGAAAGGAAAGTTTACTCTCCCTCCCGACGGAATTAACAAACGGATATTGAGAAACCTGTTTTTTTTTCCAGGTAAAACTAGCTTTATGGGATAAGTCGGAAGGGAGAGGACAAAAAATATATTTATCTGGTTGGATTTTGTTGGAGGAGATGCCTTAAGGATTTGGAGACAGAAATAAAATTTTAATAAGGCTTTAAAACACAGATTTGGATTTTCTTTTTTCCTTTGTCTGATACTACCCCTGGAAGAGAAAGTGGAAATTTTGGCTTGGCTTGGATTGATTGAGGATTGTGGACTTTGGGATTGTCTTACTTTTCTTTTGGAATATTTTGGTTGGAGTAAGAAGAAAGAGGGAAAAAAGACAAGAAAAGATTTATAATGGCTTTCTCCCTTGAGGAACTGAGGGATGAATATGAGCAAACAAAAGCAGCCTGTAAAGATGGTATGGAAAAAGCTTTTCTATTTTTAGAAATGGCACTGGTTAACTATGAACAGACAATGCGACAGATGGAACAACAGCAAGAAGAAGACGAAGACACCATCTTTAATGAAGCCCAAAATTTATCTAAGGAAGAAGGAAGGAAGAAAGCGAGGAAAATGAAGGACTTAAGATCTAAAAAAACATTTAAGAAAGAGAAAAATATGATGCAAAATAAATACAATGATAGCAAACAAGAGAAAAAGGGAATACAACAGAGAAGGGATGCCAGCAAGACAGAGGTTAGAAGAAGGGGGGGTAGGAGGATCTGGTGGGGGAAGAAAGAAAGGGGAAAGGCGGAGAAAAGCCACAAAGTTTTAAAATTGGATGGGAAAAGAGGAATTTTTTTCAGGGATAAAGGGTAAAGTATAAATTTTCTTTAAAAAGATTTTGCAAGGTACATAAGACGGTATTGTAATATTTGTATTAGAAATAGAAAATTAGAATGGCTTAAGAGTTAATAAGAAATTAAAATGTTGAAATGTTTAATAATGATTGATCTTTAAAATGTAATAAAATATTGAAGGGAAAGGCAATGAGAATGCTATAAGATTTATTATTTAGATTTATTATTTAACTACATATTTAGGAGGATACTATGTATTTAAACATTTCCGATTTATTACTCTGTTTTTATTGTTATTAAAAGTAAAAATTAATAGATAGAATGTACCAAGCAGAATTAGATTGGATATTAGGTGTCATTTTAAATGTTAATTTAATATTTAGGGAGAGGATAGAAAGGCATCATACTCTGATTAGAGATTTCAGGAGAAATTCTTTTTTTTTTTCATTATAAGGAATGAGATAGAGGGATAATAAAGAATGGGCAAAAGATACAAATATAATGATTTAAATTAAGATGGATTGAATAAGATAGAATTATGAAGAGTGAAATGTGTGGAGAAGTATATATAGAAGATACAGAATGGTAAACAAAATAGGTAATGATTTCTAAGATGAGCATGAATATAATTAAAGCCCATATAAAGAGAGGTACCGGGGGCCAAGTTACTTTACTAAAAGATTTTTTATATGTTTGTTTGTGTCTGTTTATGTTTTTGAGAAGTATTGGTGAAACCTTTTAGAAACACAGAAAGAGAATGACGATAATCAAGTCAGAAAGAAATAGAGGACAAGAGATGTTTTTATGCTCATTTAGAAATGGTTTAAAATAGAATTGTATTGTATAAGATAAGGTTTTATCTGACTTGTAAAATTTATAATGGAAAAAGGTTCAAATATGTAATTGTTGATGATGATTTGTTTGTTTTTGAAATTAATAAAACTTGTTTAAAAAAAAAAAGAAATTTTCTGAAAGTGGGAACAATCAATCAACAGAACAGCTTGCCTTCAGATGTTGTGGGAACTTTATCACTGGTGGCTTTCAAGAAGAGATTTATCAAAATTGCTGTAAGCTCTCCTGCTTGGGTAGATGACCAACAATGTCCCTTCAAACTCTATTAATTGGTTAAATTAGGCAGTTTCTGGGGAAAGGGCTGGAATGATTAGTTCAGCAACAAACAACCAGTATTCTTCAGTCATCCAAGAGAGATTCTCTGCCTTCAAAAAGCAATTCTCGAGAAGAAGGTGGACCCTCCTCGCTGGCAGACTGTAGATCGCATTTCTCTGCGGCTATGGTCCGTGCTCTTTCGTTGGAGAGCCCTGATCATTACGATTAGGGGCTGAAGCTGCCTTGGAAGGGTGGTGGAGTAAGGGGAAGCCAAAAGCCAGGTTGAGGGGAGCTGCATCTCTCCCCCTGGGCTTGGTCTCCCCCCCCCAAAGACGACTGCAGCGGTGGTTTAAAATGGCCACTCCGAAGAGGAGGACTCAGCTGGATTAAGATTTGTGCAGGAGGGAAGAAAGAGGTGGATAACATCTGAACTGGGACAACTGGGCAATACAACTAAAAAAAGTACCCTGGGATTAAGGTAATATGGAATTTTTAAGAAAAGAAATGTGAGCAGAAAAATTACAAAGGGACAGGAAAAAAATTTTTTGACAGCTAAGCGGGGCTTCGAACCAGGAAAGGAAGAAGCCGGAAAGATTTAACTAAATTGGACTAAAATATTTTGGCAATAAACAGGCATAAAATAAAGCTGGACTTAAGATTGTCAAAAAATAATAATAATAAAGTTTACAAATTGGAGACTGGACTGTGTTGGAATATTGAGTTTCGAAAAACCCTAAATAAAAAAAAATAGGGGGAAAAGGTGAAGACTTTGTATAATGGAGAGTGCCACCTTTTGACAAAAACTTGAGCTCAAACAAGGGAAAGCATCCTGTTTCTGAATGAAGTTGTGTGGATGTAACATTAAAGAAATATTGAAACAAAGTAAGAATCCTAGAAAGTGAAAGCAAAACCAGAATAAAGAAAAAAGCAAGGAAAGACTGATTGTGGGATTGATTGATGTTTTTGGTGTAGACCCTGGGCTGGAACAGTTGAGAACTTTAGAAAATTGAAGGAAGGAAGAAGGAAAGTAAAAGTGTTTTTTTTGTGGACTTTAATGATCATAAAATACAAGAGTGTGTAATGATGATATCTCTTTGGGAATTAAAAATGGAACTTAAAAATATGAGAAAATTACTACAGGAAAGAGGAGAATCACTTTGTTCTGTGTTAGAAAAAATGGAAATGGCAATTGAAGAACAAAAAGAAAGAGCTTCAGAGGAGGAGTCGACTCAAGGAGAAGACATTTTAAATAGACAATTAACACAAAGAACGCTGCAAAGAAGTGGGGAAAGAAGGAAGATTAAAAAGTTGAGACTTAAGAAGACAATCAAAAGGGGGAATACCTGTGAAGTTGGGAAAGACAGAAAGACCCAGCAGAAAAGGGGAAAGGAAGATATTAAGAAAAAGAGGGATACAAATTGGAATGAGAAAAGATATGGGGAAAAGAGGGGGAGGAGAAGCAGTAAGAAACAGGCGCATGAAATAAAGAAATACAGAAATAGTAAAATGTTGAAAAGAAATTGTTTTTCCAAAGATAATGGTTGATGAATTAAAAAGGGGATTATGCAGGGTGACAAGGGGTAATAAGAATATTTCTGCAATTAAAAATATTTAGAAAATAGGGTAATATAGATACTGATAACTTTTATTAAAAATTAAGGGGGGGAATATGCTGCAGAATCCAAATGAAAAGATGTAATGATTATTATTGTAACTTCTTAAAAATAATGGTTTATTGGGAATCAAAATGAGGGAATAAAGGTATATT